AACAAAAATGAAAATGAAAATGAAATGAAATGAACATAAAATAATTTATTATATAGGCACGCGTATTTTACTGGGAAATACGCTACTCGTAAATTTCATACAAAACTACATCCGGGATGCGAGTGACATATTTTCCATATCTTCACTAGCGAAGCGGATATCGATGACGTCATTTCTGTTGTTTTTTTYCGCACTCGTTCATAAAGAAATCGGCGCGCGTTTCCATGTGTGTGTCTATATGATAAAAAGAAAATTACACGGCAGCTTGAAGATATGAAGCTTATCTTCTCGTGTTAAAAAATATTTCAATCGTTTCAATCGAAGATAAACTTTATATCTTCGCGCTACAATATAAGCCTAGTCAAGTCAAATCAAATTTCGTTAAAAATAAAAAGTTAATCGCTGCACAAGGGACTAGTCCCTAAGGCTTATAATATTTTTTGTGGGGGGAGGCACTGAAAAAACAGGGTTTGTGCTGAGGTAACCACTTGAAATTCAAGGACTATTCAAGGAGTATACAAGGACCCAAAAATGAATTTGCAAGGAGTATGTTCAGCTATAAACTATGCCAAGGTTTTACACGGTAGTTGCGCATGGCAAACTTTCAGATTTTCCGATCTTTCTGACTAGATCTATTTCAGAACYATGCAAGTAATGATCAAAGCAAAAATTCAAGGAGTTTTCAAGGAGTTTCGCTAAAATCATAAAATTCAAGAGCTTTTCAAGTGCCCTTGAAAACGTGAATTAAATTCAAGGAGTTTTCAAGGAGTTTAAGGAGTTGCATGAACCCTGAAAAAATGACATCTTTTGGTGGGGAAAGGGGTGGCATGGAAAAAAATGAGGAATACATGTAGGGGGTATGCTAATTTGTAATGGAAGTTGAAAAATTTCTACCAGCCACACAACCCCCCTCCCCTCCTCCCATTCTTATAATGGTCCTTAAAATCACCTCTAAGATTCCCTTCATTTTTCAGAACTCGGGCTTTTCTGACCAATAGTTGTGGGGCAATTGCAGTCTGAGGACTTTTCTTTTGAATGTGAGTGACTATATCCATTGATGTTTTGGTATCTCCTTGCCAGAAAAGAAACCGATCGAGAACAAATAAAACAGCTGCCAATTTCTGGAAATTGTCCTGTATATAAGAGTGATACAAACATTCCTGAAAAATAAAAAGACAGTATGAATATTGTATCAATTGTATTAGCAGCAAACTTAAGACACCAGGTAAAATCAAAAATCAGTTATTTTAAACAGCCATTACTTGTAGAATTTGGAGTTCAGTTATAGTGGGGATGTTGGTGTTAATAGAAACAATGGATTCCTTCACATTAGTACCCTGTTCTTTGCTAACATCTTGGACAAACTGCCTGCATAATAAATAATAATAACAACTTTATTTAATGAGGGTGGCACTAAATAGTGTACTACACTAATAAACTTGTGGCCCTCAATATAAAACTACTAATATTTACAAATTTACAAATATAAAATATATGTAATAACTATCAACACGAACTTATTAGAGAAATTGACTATAGTATGATGAAACATTACATCAAGATTAAAATGAACTATTTATAAATTTAACTGTGAAGCTCAGCCACACTACGCTCATGCGGACGACGCAGCAACGCAGCTGAACGTAAAATTGCAGGAAACATATTCATAAAGCAATTTTATGGAGTAACCAGCTACAGGGTCCGGGTTCTGACGGGGTAAAATGGGAGCTGGAATTTCTTTTGTTGGTGTGGCTGGGAAAATGTCATTCTATATGTACTGGGAATGGGAATCATAAATTAAAAAAACAAAAACAAAAACAAAATTAATGGGAAAAGGAATGTGAGCTGAGCAAATGGGATTAGGAAGTACAGGGGTGGATATAGGGGATTTGCCTACATGAATAGAAGGTTTTGACTTGACAAAATTTCTGCATTCCCCCCCCCCCCGCCCCTGAAGGACCCCTCCTACCCACCACTTCAGATCTCTCTCTACTGTACAACTGACTTGAAGCCAATGGATAAAACAATTACTTAAAAATGGAAGATTACAGTGCCATTTTCGTGGAGGAGGACGTGGAGCTGCTGGCAGCTCCAATTTACACCATTATGGCCACTTACATGTAAATGCTTGGGGGTAAATGAATGAGGGTAGCAACTGTGGGATATCAGGCCCCAGTGGGCCCTTTAGCTAATGAATTAATATCATACAGTTCTGACCATACCACTTTTCAGGGACAAAGGGCCAATCATTGTTTTCAGCTTCACATATCAGTTTTTGAAGATCTTTGTTGGAAACAAGAGAAAGCCAATGTTGAAGAACATCAAAGTCTGTCTCTTTATAGCTGCGTGAATTCTTTTTGCTTGACAAGTACTTCTTCAAGGTTGGATGAAGATAAATGCATTGTACATTGCCTTCTTTCTTCATGCAAAGAAGCTTTGCTAATGCTAGTTCTTTAACCTCAGAATTCTCTTCTAGCATAGGCAGTGGTCGGCGTAGACTACTAAGCTTATATAACATATCAATACTTGATACCTTTAAAGCTTTGCCAGCCAACTCAAAAAATCTGTCCAAAGCACAACCCTGAACATTGAGAAGCTCTGTTGAGTGCTGATTTYGTAATATTTCAGATGTAACCACATCTTCATTTTGGCCTTTCAAAAGTCCACAAAGAAGTTTAATTCCAAATGGATTGTATTTTACAAAATTACAAAGGCTGGTGATGTCCTCATCCTTTAGAACATGTGGATGTAACAGTGTTGAAGCCAAGGCTTTAGAAGAAGATTCCGTTAGCCCATTCACTGAAATAGTACTGGAAACAATGTCAGTTGTAGGATATTTTATATGCAGGCCATGTGTTTGTGTCTGCAGCACGAGAAAACTTGTTGCTTTACATGTTTTTAAAACATCACCAAGAAATGAATCCAGTATCCAACTTTCACTATAATCTGCATTATCAACACAGATGACTTTCCAGTGTTGTTCAAGAAATTCAGATAATGCTTTGATCTTTATGTCAATTTTCAAAGATGTTTGGGTAAATTTAGCGGCAGATTCTTGATCATTTCTCTCTTTTGCTAATTTACCCATAAAATCCCATAGTGATGCATTACTACAACCTTGGTTTAAAGATAGATACAATATGTCAGATTCTTTAATGGTTTTTGTGTTACAAAGACACTGGCACAGCCCTTGGACCAGGGTTGAACAACCAGTGCCGGGTTCACCAAGGATAATAAAAACATTGCTGCCATTCTCTTTGATTGTCCTCAATATGCTAGATACATCACTGCTTAATCTGATTTGCCGTATATGTTGACAGGCTTCTGGATTAAAACTACTTGGATGGACTTGAGTTAATGCTTGTTGGAACACTTGCATTCTTGTAGGCTGGAATATAGTGCTGTGTTATTTCATTTGAAACATTCGTTTTTGACAATCCTCGTATTTAAGACAGTTTAGAGCAATTACGTTTTGAAGGATTCTAAACATGAAGATAAAACAAAAGCTTATTAGCATAATAAATTGAGTTTAATATCCACACAAAACTAACCTTTTGAAACCGGAAGTGCAAAGGTTTGACTAAAAAACCTTCTGTTTTAATGTGTCAGCCTACGTAAAAACTATCGTATTTTTAAAACAATGTTTTTACTTACCTTAGATGACAACAATTACTACATATTATCCATACTCACCGTAGCTAAATATACAATTCTACTGATGGACAATCACACAGGTTCATACAGTGCCCAGACTAACGATACGTAAGTTAGTGTTAGGTCCAGAAACATGTTTCTCTATGTTTCCTAAGGTGGCAAAACTGTCAGGAAACATCGGGAAACAATGTTTTTTCATGCGTCTTGGAAACATGAAATGTTTCTGCCGCACAGCAAAAACATTTTTTGCGTTTTGGAAGCAAAATTTGTAGCATGCATCAATGTTTTACACATGGCTAAACTGGGAAACAATGCTCGCGGTAAAATGTTTCTGGAAACATCCATGCTTCCTCGTTTAGCAAGGGCCTTAGTTCGCTCAGCCAGTCAGTACCACAGGAAACCCAAAATAACGTTTTTTATCATTTTAAACCAGGTTTTAAACGGCGCAAAAAAAATACAAAGACGCTTCAGAATCGAAACATTCCTTCGACAAATTTCTTATGATAGCTTATATTTTTGTTTAAAATTATAGCGGAGCTCCCGCGCGGGCCTTCGATACAGAATCACAAACAGAACAATCAACTTGTTAACTACGGACAAACAGAAAGAGAGCACAACACTCCCTGTCAAGCTGGACATGATTTTGACCTGGATGGTATGGCTGTAATGGACAGAGATGTTCCTTGAAGCGTGGTTTTTCTCGACAAGATCATAAAACCATTAATGATTCCATCAACATTCAACTTTCTAACTAACTTCTTAGCGCTTTTGCGCGCGCTGATATGTAAAATCTTTAAATCACGCGTGCAAACGTCTTTAGTGACAGATTTACGTGATGAGTCTTATAGGCCTTGGCTAAACGAGGAAACATGTTTCCAGAAACATGTTTCCCTAAATGTTTCTTAAGGTGGCAAAACTGTCAGGAAACATCGGGAAACATGTTTACTCAAACATCAGTTAGCGCATGCTGAACTCTTTCAGTTTGGCTTCTACACCTTCGTACTCCAATTCTTTTTGGTCTCTGCTGCTATACTCATTTCATGTTACGCTTATTTCAATAAAGTTAGTCACCTGAAAAGGTACAAAGCTGAGACCGACAAGGATTATGGGTAGATTCATTTTACATGTTTCAACCCCTTGATAACTGTTGATGGACTTGAGGTCTTCTACCAGTTACAAGTTAACCTCCTCTGCGAGTATCCTCAATTGCTGCAGTTTGTGTCAAAACCTTTACTTGTTGGATATAAAACATTTCCCCATGATTCTCAGCGATCACAGCTTTCTAGGTTTTTGGTGACTAACTTTATTGAAATAAGTATATATCCCATAGACATCTCCTTTCCTCGTAGCTAGTTATAAGTTGTTCTATTTCTTCATCTGTCCATAGTCTTTCCTTCTTCTTTTTCTTGTTTACATCGTTTACCGCCGTCATCTCCGTCACCTCCTCATCCGCCATCTTGTTTTGACAAGTTAGAGCGCGAGCGTTGCTAAGTAACGAGCTTTAGGAATGTTTACTTTCGTGGCTAAACGAGGAAACATCGGGAAAAGAGAGTGTGTATATACTCTATTGGAAGAGTAACTTATTTTGAAAATTTGTCAGGTGACGTTTTCATGATATACGGTAAAAACTGATGGTGCTGGGCATCGAACAATCATGGTTCAATACTTCACTCCCTGAATCCAAATTAAATGATCAATATTACTTTGTTAAATATCACTTAAAAGAAAAATGATGCATTCACAGTTTGTATAGTTCACTCAACAAAATTTCAGAAAAAATGCGAAGCGACGCCGTTCATCTTTGTCTATTTGGCGGCCGATTTTCAGTCCATCGCGCAACTGAAACGCATAAAAAAGATTAGTTCTTATTAGTTTTTACGGCTTGATATATGACGCAAGTTTAAGATTTATTGAAAGTATTGGAAGAACTGCTGTTTTTAAAGCACCGTCATAAGTTTTTACAAAGATTTTTTTCCCGTAATATTTGTATTTGCCATTGTTGCCACTAATTCTCGGATCATGCGCAGAATATCTATAAATAATTTTCGATACAAAACCGAGCAAACTRAAAAGGCAATGAATTTTTCTAAATGGTAAACAACTCAATGCAAACAATCGCTCTATTGACTGCCACAGTATATAATAAAAGTGATTTCATTCTTAGAAGGAACTGAGGCGCTGTTCAATAGTACATTCGACATGAATACTCTAAATTATATATAACTTTTCTTTCTTTATATTGAAAAGCAAACACCTTTGTCCCACACGTCAAAGCATTTTGTATGACTTGTGTGCACATCCTTTTTAGAATTTCTTCATAAAAGTATAGATTTTATACAGAAATTAGAGAATTCTATTTTATCCTTCTTTGTGGTACCTGTTTGTTTACGCCAATGATGATTTACCACCAGCAGAAAGGAAAAACTAAAACAAGCAGCGAAAGCTATTAATTGGTAGCCTTGTTCTGGCAAAAATCCACGGAAAATTATCTTACAATTGTGTTAATATTCATGCCGATAGACTGTACTTTGCTCTACCTCAGAGTCGTGCACGTGAACATTAACCAACGTATTGACGCACGAGCAGTGCACGAGATTGAGGTAAGCCAAACTATAGCTATGTAGCACTACGGGAAGAATTCCAGTTGATATCCTGTAACCTGAAAGACATGTAAACACTACTGCACCAACCAGCTACAACAAAGACTCCAATATAAGGTACGACTTAAACAAACTAAGCGCGATTCAAAAGTTTTTCAAAAACGTCTAAGCAACTTTTTATCAATGAGCGTAGCTAGCTTTCATGAACCGGTTTTAAACCAGCTAACGTTGGGGCCAGCGTGCGGTTGAGGTCCGGATGACAATACGAGTTGTAAATACCTTTACTGGGTTTTTAAACTAGTTCGTTCAGTCAACGTTGTCTTTAGATTATACGGATGCATGCATTTCGAAAATACAAAAATTATAAACAATGCGCACATCAGCAACGTAAAAAATGCATGCTGGAAGTGTAGAATAGATTCATGGCACTACCATCGTCACGGTATAAAAGCGACTATCAGACAATCCTAGATAATTCATACTTAGAAATGAAAAATAGCATTTTCGAGCCGTGCGTCGACCATACAAACTCAACAAAGACCGTAAAAAACTAAGATGTTGTATTAGATCAACTAGGCTTTATTATTTTATATATGTATTTTTCTTATGTGTCTTCTCTCACGCGCAAATAATGGTGCGAGTAGTAAGATTTAAACGGCTTGTAGGTTTGATGATAATAAATACCAGGCGAAGCAGTTCCAAATTCCTGTAACAAAAACGTTTGCGCTATTGTTTTGTATAAAGCAATTTGATTATAAGATCACAGCAGAGTAAGGAAACTTACACAACAATCAATTGATATGCAAGCGGATGCATTCATAATACCCAACTATGACAAAGAATATACATAGAGACTACGAGAACATAGTTGAATTTGGTCGAGTTTAGTTACCGCATGTACCAAAACTTTGTCGTTGTGCGCTGTGCGTTGAAAATGGAAAGATTGCGCATTGAGCAGGTGTTAGATCTCTATCTAGATTCCATAGAATAGTTCTCTGTTTTTCCACTATCCTCAAAACCTAACTAGCTAAAATCCGATCCGATCTGTGAGTTAGCCTTAATTGCCCTGACGTTGGTAAGCCCAGAGGTTGTTTCAGGATATCAATAAGATTTGAAGAAAATTACTTCTGATCACTTGTTGTTGTTCCTCATCTTCCTTTTTTGATATAGTGGAATATAGAGGAAATAGTACGTTGGCTAAACTCGCGCAAAAAAAACCCAGTGAAAGTGCAATGCGAATGCGAAAACAAAACGTAGCATTAGTTAGTCAAAGGTGCGTAAAACTATAGCGTTGTGGTTCTTAATCTCTAATCCAATGATTATCAGTTTTCTTTTTTCCTTTTTCTTTCCTTCTTTTTATTATTTTTGCTGTATTTTTTAACTCATTATCTACGTAAATTACTAAACTTGAATAGCATCATTTCCTTAGGATACTAATGCATAATTTCTTGCCGGAGTACTCGGTTCGATTAAGTCCTGTACAATACTCGAATATCCTGTGTTAAAATCTATCCCGTGTGGTTACTTATTTCTGTTCGTTAATTCTTAATCGACGGTTACTTCTCAGTTAAATAATGAATAGACCACTTTATACCGCTAAACTAACCCCTAGACGTTCTATTTATACTATGAAAAAACCTTAATAGAATAGAATCTTAAGGGCATATCACTTGAAGAGGAATTACTTCTTTATTTAGTAGAATATTTACTGAAGAGCTTGGAAAAAATAAGTTTGGGCGCGGCGGTAGGATTAAAGTTAATCCAGGGATAGGACACCGCTTGGGTTTTCTAGTCTTAACGTTACAAAAGAAAATAAATTCATCTAAATTCTGTTACAATCCATGTACTTTATCCACGGTCAGCACTGAATTTGTTTCTATTTAGTCATGCACGGTAATTGGTTGGCATATATAATTTGTCGTTTCCTGATTGGTTACTGGAAAACAAGCCATTTTAGACTTTAGTAGTCTAGTCTTAGCAATTTTGTTCCGCCTAAGTAAGAAAATTGCACAAATGTATAAAGGATTTTCCTTCCTTTTAAAATGACAATTTTACTCAAGTGAAAAACCTGATGGAAAAGTTACGAACGACTCGAATCAGATGCGTAGCTTCTTTAGTTTCTGGGAGTACTTATTATATATTTTCACACCTTATGTACGTATTCCTAAATCATTAAAGTGCCTATCACCCTTCTGACAATATTCACAGTATTAATTCTACATGGGGTAAGATGTTGAATAACACTAAAAAAATATATAGTTTAAGTGCAACTTCTTGAAGTCTTAAAGGTTTTTCCATGCCATATGTTAATGCTGTGACGTATGAGGAGTAATCATTTAATATACAAAACACTACTGGTACAAATAAATTAAATTTGAAATACGTCATTGTTTTCCCCATTGCTCTTATAGAAATGATTGCAAGTTAGTTTTCCCATAGAAGCCGGTGTTTCGAATTACGAGGAACAACAAATAACCATAAATGACTCCTCATACGTCACAGCATTAGCATATGACATGGAAAAACCTTCATAACTTCAAGAAGCCGCACTCAAACTATGTAATTTTTTCGGGTTATTCAACATCTTACCCCATGTAGAATCAATACTGTGAATATCGTCATTCTCATTGGTCTGTATTAATGTGTAGCAAAATTGTGTCAAAATTTCATATTTAATTAATTATTCAAGTTTAGGTTCAAATTTCAAGAAATTTTTGGAAAACAGAACCATTTAGCATATGAATATTCGAATTTATCCTACAGTAAATTTATCT